TCGTTTTAAACGGTAGTTTCGTTTAACGAGAGAGTTATTTAATGAAATTTATTTTACCGGTAAGAGAATTTTAATATATCTTACCGGTAAGAGAATCCAAAATAATGTCGTTTTGAGTAGTCGGGGATTCGGAGAAGAAAGATTCAGGAAACAAAACATTATTGCATAATAAATTTTAAAAAATAAATAATTAAAATAATCAAAATTTGACTTACAACAGACCTATTAAATCTACTAGTGATGCTAGAGACCTCTAATTTAGAGACTCTAAACACATCTCTAATGAGGTAGAAGAGAAGAAAAGGAAAAACAAAAAAATAATAAAAACAGACACAACACCGACGATAACAATAAATTACATTACTAATGACACTTCTAATTAGACGTTCAATCATTTGTCTAAATCCACACGCTCTCTGGAATCCCGAAGATGAAAATAACCAAACCCATCAAGTAATAACACTAGAAGTACAAGTCATCGCAGCTTTTGGCTTTGAACACGGAAGAGGTCGCTTCTTTCTTCCATCCTAGAATTTACGTTAGGAGGTCGCTTTTTGGGGGAGACATATTTTGGTTTCGTCTATAAATAGCTTTCCACTCGCCTCTTCCACGCTCATCAACCCTAAGCTCTCCTCAATTCAAACAAACTCATCTTCTTTCTCTCCCTAGCTTTGGAAGAGAGAGAGCGAGCTTACTTACTGACCAATGGCGACACCAGTAGAAATCTCAACTCTCGAACTCATCGAACAACACCTCCTCGGCGACTTCTCTCCTGTTGACAGCTTCCATATCAATAGCCTCAGCAACACCAGCTCGATTTTCACAGCATTCGATTCTGCAACCAGTGTTCAAACCGAGGGTTCAAGCTCTCAATCTTATTCCTTCTGTTCACAGACTTTAAGCTCTGACTCTACCATCGCAATCTCTGATTACCTGGACTCGAACCAAGTTAACAATACTGGAAATTTTGATTTTGTTCAAGATCGACCTAGCTCCGGTCAAGAAATTCGAGTGGTTGGATTTCAGCCAGCCAACTAAGCCAGCAGCAGTTTCCGAAGAGAAACCGTTTAGTAGGCACTACAGAGGCGTCCGGCAAAGGAGGTGGGGGAAGTTCGCGGCGGAGATCAGAGATTCGAAGCGGCGAGGGTCTAGGGTTTGGCTAGGGACATTCGACACTGCCATTGATGCCGCCAAGGCCTACGATCGAGCCGCATTCAAGATGCGTGGGAGCAAAGCCATTCTCAACTTCCCACTCGAAGTAGGAAATTGGCGTCACTCCTCCTCCGCCGGCACGAAGAGGCGGAGAGAGGTTGAAGAACAAACAGAGGAAAGGTCGGTGAAGAAGGAGAGGTTACTGGAATCTGAAGCATCGGTGGCTAGCAGTGAAGCGAGTTGTTCTTTAACGCCGTCTAGTTGGACAGCCCTATGGGATCAAAATGCAGATGGTATCTTTGACGCCGCGCTGTTATCGCCGTTATCTCTTCAGCCTTTGTTGGGCTATTCACAAGTCATGGTCATTTAAAGGAGTAGTTTTTTCGCGAGTTGTACTAGTTTTGGATGTATATAGGGAATGCCGTGAGGAATCGGAAACGTTTTACAAATGACAAACCATGTTTGTAGAGAAAATTGTCCACGTGGTTTGAAACAGCAATGCTTTGATTATGAGAAAAAATTTTTTTGTATTATTAGTTGATTTGAATTTATATGAACTTGAACATGATTTTGTTTTTAAAATTATGTTGATTTGATAAGTATAAATTGTTTAATTTTTTACTAAAAAATAAATATATTTTTTAGTTACAAATGTAATAAATTGAACAAATTATAGTTATTTGATCAATTTAATTTTTTTTCGTAAATAAAATATACAAAATATCTGACAAAATAAACGATTCAAATTATTAAAACGATACCCCATAATGGATGTCACGGACCAAACAACACATTCTAGTCCAAAATTTGGACTAAAGGTAGCCTACTCCATTGATTTAATGATTCCCGAAATACACTCCTAAATACTAAAATATTATTTTTCATTTTCCTTTTCCTCCAAACACCTCCACAGAGGAAGACCCACCACAATCCCCGCCCTCTCTCTGCCACCACCACCACCTCCACCTCCATCCACAACATTTACACACATGCCCCCAAGAGCACGTGCATCCTCTCTCTTCTCTCATCCCGTCTCATCTGTATTCTGATCATAACGTAACCCCTCTTTGGCTCTCACTGTTTTTCTCTCACTTTCTCTCTCTAAATTGACGCATTACACACAGAAGAGAGTGAGAGAGAGAGGGGGATGGTACACAACAGGCTGCCAGGCAGCGGACACAACAGCCCGTCGCCGCAGCAGTCGCCGCTCCTGTCGCCGAATAGGCTCAGTCACTCCGGCAGCCGGTCGAAGCAAGGCCGGTTCAACTTCTTCGGTAATCAGCCCTCCTGAACCCTCGCTTACCCCCTGGCCTGGTCCCTCCTCTCTGTCCTCCTCCGCAGACAAGGCGTCGTCCTTCTCCCTTCATTTTTCTACGGCATGTCCATATTACTGTGCTGCACTGATCTTGACATTTTATTATAATGCCAGGGCAACTTAAAAATTAGAAGTTAATGCATTTTATAAAAGAGTAATATTAGGAATTTTAAATATTTTATTAAATATGTCATATAAATATGAGATTTATATGAAATTTATATGGTGCAGTTTTTACATTTATGTAAGATATTTGATAAAAATATTGATAAAATATTTGAGAGTTCTAACATTTTATTTTGTAAAATGTCATTGAAACTTTGTTTGGTTTGGGTTTTCTAAAAATATTTTTAAAAAAAATTTATTTTCTTTATTTCTTTTTTTTCGCATTTTTTGTTTTTACTAAAATTTTTTAAATATTTTAAGTAATTTTTTTAATTTTTATATGCACCTAACATAAATATACTTAAAAAATATAATTTTTGTAAAAAAAATCTTTAAAAAATTCATTAAATACCAAAAATATAAAAAAAAAACAAAAATTCAATATATTTTTTGTATTTTTGTGTATTTATTAACTTTTTGAAATATTTTTTCACAAATATTTTACTTTTTAAATATATTTAAGTAAGGTGTATTTAAAAAAATAAAAAAATGTTTAAAATTTTAAAAATATTTATTAAAAACATAAAATCACAAAAAACAAAAAATTTAATTTTTGTAAAACTGAATTCAGAAAACTAAAGGGAAACGCATTGATTTGTTTTTTTTGGTGGTATGTCATTGAAACTTCATTAGCAGTACTAGTGGGCGTTTGGCAAAAATTATGTTAGTAGGCTCAGTGGTTCAGTTTTTTTTTTTTTTTTTTTTTTAAAGCCAAAAAAAGGAAATTTATTAATAAAAATTAATATGCATATAACACTAGACAAAATTAATAAAGAAAATGCAAACACATAAAGTATCAAAGCAAAGTTAATCAATGATAGTTCACAACATTTTCAAACAAATAGTTTTACTTTTCATGCTATTTGTTATGGGTATAAAGGATTAATTTAACGAACATTGATTTAATCATATACCATTTTATTACAGCCTTTTTTTAAAAAAAACAATTAAATATATACATGATGCCACCATCTCCACTGCATTTTCATTATTGCTTTGAATAGTTATACAAGAATTTTTATTCTATTTTTTTTAAATCCAAACTCATACAATAATTCTAGGTAGGTTATACTCATTTTGGTTAAGATCGATCTTGACTTCTTAGTAGTTTCACAAGTGTCTTCCAGTACTGGAATGAACTTCCTAAAAGACAAACGAACCCTTGTCTAAAGCTAATTATGTTTCATAACTGATATGGTTATCACTTTGCAATCAAAATTATGATTTATTTCAAATAGTTACGGAAAAAGCATATCACTACAACATTTTTCTGGACTTCATTAAATTTATATTAGTATGACTATATGATATGTCAACATGAGATTGTTCTTGGGATTCTTTTCTTCAATTGATCTCGAAACTGAATGATTTAGAAGTTTTGAGGAATTCCTAAGGGCTGGGCTCATTGAAATAAGTTTCATTTCTTTGATATGTCTGAATTAAAACTCCATTAGGGTGTTTATTAGCCATATTACTTTTAACAAAATTAAAAATTAAAAAGAATAGAGAGAGTCAATTTTGAAGATATCAACCTATAATGTCACCACAACAAGAAACTATCATGTGCTAGCGATAAAGAATACGAAGCCCTTCTAGCCGGTCTGCGGAATGCGCACCTTCTCGGCGCTTGGCGTCTGCTTGTGTTTTGTGATTCAAAATTGGTAATCAGTTAGCTAAAGGGGGAGTACGCGGCAAGAAACAACCGTATGGCAACCTACATGAAAACGGCCAATTCCTTACTGGCAAAATTTGACCATCACGAATTGAACCAAATAACACGCGACCAGAACACACACGCGGATGCCTTGGCGTGCTTAGCCTCCGCCATCAATTCTGAGATCAAACGGACCATCGAAGTAGGTTTCATCCCGGAGCCGAGTATTGGCCCTTCGGAAGAAATCCATGTCAACGTTATAGAATTCGCACCAAGTTGGATGGACCCCATTGCTGCATTCCTCTCTTCTGAACAACTCCTAGAGGATAAAAAAAAAACACACAAGCTGCGAAATGAAACCCTGCAATACTATCTGGATCCGCAAGGAGGGCTTTATAAAAAGTCCCTCTCTGGTCCATATTTGGAATGCGTGCACCCCGACAAAGTGGAGGAGCTTCTGACAGAGATACATGAGGGCAGTTGTGGAGCCCATTTTGGCGGACGATCCTTGGCCCGTCGAGCTATAACACAGGGGTATTATTGGCCAACAATGAGAGCTGACGTGGAGAGTTATGTAAAAAAATGCGAACAGTGCCAAAAGTTCTCCCCATTAACCCATCTGCCTGCCGAAGGGTTGAACTCTATCACCAGCCCCTGGCCGTTTGCTCAATGGGGACTTGATATCGTAGGACCATTGCCGAGGGCCCCAGGGAACAAGCGATTCTTAATCGTCGCGACAGATTACTTCACAAAATGGGTCGAAGCGGAGGCTTTAACACATATACGAGATGCCGACATTAAACGCTCTGTATAGAGAAACATCATAACACGATTCGATATTCCGAGAGCTCTCATCTCAAACAATGGCACCCAGTTCGATTATGGCGTATATCGAGAGTTATGCAGCAAATACGGCATTCGGCCTTACTTCTCTACACCGGCCTACCCCCAAAGCAATGGTCAAGCCGAAGCCTCTAACAAATCCATCTTGGACGGCATCAAAAAGAGGTTGGAAAAAGCTAAAGGCAAATGGGTCGAAGAATTGCCGAGTGTATTGTGGGCTCATCGTACTATGCCAAGGAGATCCACTAGAGAAACGCCGTTTGTTCTATGCTTTGGAACCCAGGCAATCTTACCCCTGGAAATCGGCCTCCCAACTCTGAAATCGCAAGTTTTTGATACGGGCCGAAACGACATGATGCTTGCCCTGGATCTGATTCTAATCGAAGAACGAAGAGACCGCGCCCTGGCATCCATGGCACGGTATTAGCAGCAGCTTGCCAAGTCGTATAATCAGCGAGTTCAGTTGCGTCGATACACGCCAGGAGAGTTGGTCCGAAAGAAAGTGCTTCCAACCGACCGGAAACCAGCCGATGAAAAATTGGGTCCAAATTGGGACGGCCCCTATCAGATAGAATCCATCGCAGGAACAGGGGCATACTGGCTCTCAGACATGTCAGGAAGAAGCCTGCTACGGCCTTGGAATTCAATACATTTACATAAATTCTATCATTGACCCGACTTGTGGGCTTGATACTTGTACATATTCCATCATTGCAATACAAAGCTTCTCGTTTTCTCAAGCTCGCTCTCAAGCCTTTAGGGGCCGATTAAGCCTTCTAAGGCCAAAATTAAAGTCTCCCGATTCGGAGCCCCTTTTGGTGCATGACACCTTAGGGCCGATTAAGTCTCCGAATTCAGAGCGCCCTTCGTGGATACCACGATTGGCCAAATTAAAGTCTCCAAATTCGGAGCCCCTTTTGGTGCATGACACCTTAGGGCCAATTAAGTCTTCGGATTTGGAGCGCCCTTCGTGGATATCACGATTGGCCAAATTAAAGTCTCCGGATTCGGAGCCCCTTTTGGTGCATGACACCTTAGGGGCGATTAAGTCTCCGGATTCGGAGCGCCCTTCGTGGATACCACGATTGGCCAAATTAAAGTCTCTGGATTCGGAGCCCCCTTTTGGTGCACGACACCTTAGGGCCGATTAAGACTCCGGATTCAGAGCGCCCTTCATGGATATCACGATTGGCCAAATTAAAGTCTCCGGATTTAGAGCCCCTTTTGGTGCATGACACCTTAGGGCCGATTAAAACTCCAGATTCAGAGTGCCTTTCGTAGATATCACGATTGGCCAAATTAAATTCTCCGGATTCGGAGGCCCCTTTTGGTGCATGACACCTTAGGGCCGATTAAGACTCTGAATTCGGAGCGCCCTTCGTGGATATCACTATTGGCCAAAATAGTCTCCGGATTCGGAGCCTTTGTGACAGATGCATTCGGACCACTTCACTAGTCGAATAAATATTCACTGAGAATCGTTCTTAATTCGAGCCGGTCAATGCATGTTTAAACATTTGCACCACGCAACACAAAACTTGCC